CGCTGCCTAAACTGAGCAGCACAGCTGCTAAACGTATTACTCCACAGAGGAATTCTGTATCCCTTTGCTGTAAGCACTAGGAGTCTACTTATTATGCCAGCTATTTAACAAACAAACAAATAAATGTACACATGAAAGAGCAGGAATTGGATACGCTTCAATCAAATGCACAATGCAGGAGGACTATACAATACCAGCTTGCTTTAGCAAATATGATTGCTTGTCAGCAAGTACCTCACAGAAAGTATATCTTCACTTCAGTAAGGCTTGACTGGAATCACATTTGGAAAGGCTGCAGTACATGCAGAATTTCATAAAAAGCAGCATTTCTGATTCAAGCCCTCTTCTTCAGTCAGCATCTACCAACACACCAGTGCACTGCTGGAAATGGTACGAAGGACAGGGCACAGGTGTACACAACAAACAAGGCAACAGAGACTTACAAGAGGCAGCCTAGATCATTTTTGCACCCAGGCTGACAGAGTCCAGAAGAACGCAAGTGCCAACTGTTCAACATTCAGTGGCTCAAAAACTTCAATTTCTTACAACTTCAGTGTTGAGATTCTTTCAGAAGTCTTATGTTGTATACAGACTTCCTTTCCCATCCTCCTGTTCTACTGAAGACTTTATGCAGGGCAGCCTGGTTTTAGCTCAAAAAACCAAAGTTTTTCTGAAGAATCCAGGGATTAATTTAAACAAGGCAAGAGGCACTAACAGATTTCAGGTAACATAACTTTGAAACAGGAGACTTACTACAAGTTTCCACAGCCAGCTGCTTCTGATATGAGTATTTCAAATTGATGAGTTCCTCCCAGATTCTCACTGCCATAAAACTGCCACTCTGCCAACAAAGAGGTAAGTTCTTGTCCCAGAAAGCTCTCTATGTAAGTTACATATCAATAGGTACGATGCTTAAGACAACTGTTTGTTACTTCTTATGACTCTTATGACAGATCTGCTGAACTAAAAACATGAACTTTTCATTGAAAAGGCAGACCAGAGAGGATTTGGACAAGTGAAATGAATGGCAGACCAGCTATATTGGTAATTTATTTGAACGGACACAGCAAGGACATTGCTAACACCCATTCACCAGGCTCACCTCCACACATGACGAGCCTACACTTGTAAAAGAGAAGCAAGCCAACCTAACGCATCCTGTGTGAAGCCAGGTCTCCTCATAGCAACTCATCCTAAGGAACACGTTGCCAGGAGCTCAATTTCCTTTCTCCAGTGTGAGGAGAAACATCACTGTCAGGCAGCGCTGGGTTCCAGCCTGCTGCTCAGAGGTGAGCTGAGATACCTGATCATTGCCTGCTTTGACCCAAGCCCTCCCCAGATCCTAAGTTCTAGCAAGGAATGAGACTGGTTGCTAAAACAAAGAGCTGAGGGGCATCAGCCACAGGAAACAGGCTGTGGAAGGCCCCAGCCTTGCACAAAGCAAGCTGTTTATCACAAGCAACGTCAGAGCGCCTTCTGCAATGTGTTAGTTAATGATTAAGCTACGCCAATTAGGAACTCTAGCTTCTCAGCAAGGGATAAATACAGATGAAAAACTAAAACCAAAAGTCTGCTTCATAGAACATTGAGGGGTATGGGAGGGAGTGGGGAAAATGCAATTGTCACATCATGGTTTAAGTGAAACAACGTTACTGTACCCAGGATGTGGTGGCTGCGGAAAGCCTGCCTTCCTACTTCTCTAAGGAAGAGCAACCTGGAGAGTCATAAGGGCTAACTGGTCTTCAAATTACCGTAAACTGAAAAAAAAGTATACTGAAGGGAAAAAATACATTTAGAATCCGAGCTCCCAGTTAACAAGTAAAGAAACAGAAAGATGAAGTGGAACAGAAAGAAAATACCTGGGAAGAAAAGCAGATCAATTCTGAATATTCTGCCCTTCTCCCTTTATTTTTAGTACCAATGATGACATATGTTCCTGGATTTTCATGCTAGAGAATACTGCTTGAAAAGGAAATGCTAACCAAGAAGAGAGAAACAAAGAGCAACACCAGAAACCAAAGGAGAAACCCAGGTAGATATGAAGAGGTGCACACAAGCACCAGCCCACAACCAGAGCAGACACTGCTACTACATGCACTTGGGCATGAAGCTGCCCATGGTCCAAACTGCTTTAGCAAATGGGAAACAGACATAAAAATGCAGTCTAGAGAGCACTCAAGGCCTCATGTGAAACTGAGCAGGATGTGTTCAGAAACACTTCTGCAATCCTCCTTCTGTTCCCACTTCTCTAGATAAAAATAACAGAAGAGGAATTCTGTTTTCTGTACTGCAGCTTCTTCAATCAAGTTCCCTCTCTCTGTCCCACTCGCACACCCCTACACCCACACCATTACAGGATAATTGATTCATACCATAGGAGATGAACAGAATGCTGAAAAGTGATAGAACATGAAAAACCCTAAGTACAGGGCACTCGTTTGCAGGCTATGCCAGGCACAAGCTAACTGAGAGTATTAAAAAATAAAAATAAAATAATAATAAAAAAATAAAAATAAAAATAAAAATAAAAATAAAAATAAAAATAAATCACACACACGCCTTTTTATTTTCAGGTCATAAAAACCACACTCACCACCCTGAAAACAAGCATTTCCTGGGACTGAACAACTGATTATGTGAATAGTGCCAAGCACAGGCAGTTACGCCTTGCCACTATTTTGCCCATTCAGAACACCTCACACTTCTTTTATCAGTGACATATCTTCTAGAGATGGCCAATAGAATCAACCTCAGAAAAATTCCTGTTTGGTGCTTCCTGCAGCAAATGCTTCAATGCAGGCTCACTTCAGAGAGTCACACAGGCTCCTTACCTGCATACAGGCACTAGCAAAAGGTAATTCTGGGCTTTGGACTCCTGCACTAAACAACTTACATCAGTTTCCTCTGAGATGCACCTGATGAAGCCTCTCTTTCTTCTCCTCGGTAGCTTTTCTCACACTTCTTTTTTCTTTTCTTTAGTTCAACTTATCTAGACATTATACCAGTATAGCCAAAAATTATGCATTTTGAAAAGACAGCAGATTTTTATATTGTCATTTCAGGCCTTTCCAAGCCTCCATTGGAAATAAAACCCCTCCATCAAAATGAATGCTATGAGAACATTGAGCTGACATGCTGCCACGAGCTGAGCAGATGCATTCGGTTTCCATCTTCTGGGGAAGCTCTTTAGCCTGTTTAAATCCTTCCTGTCCCACTGTTACACACTGGCACTAAAGAGGGTCTCAAACCACCCTGCAGAGAGAACAGTCTCTAGTGAAAGACTGCAAACCCCCTTACAAATTCATCAGAAGGGCAGCTCAGCCAGACTCAGGCCAGATTATCCACTGAGGATTGTCACCAACTATCCCCAGGGAACCTGCTATCACAAATAGAGAGTCTCAGCTAGGAGATCTGCTTTTATAAGCACTAGGATGAGCTTCCCCTCAGCTTTATATTGCCACGGAAAGGCTGAAGAGGATATATCAGTACAATTCAACCCTTCCTTCTTGAGTTGCAAGACATCTTCTAACACCTCTGTCTAACCTCTCACATCAGACCCGTTCAGGATCCTCATCACCATTTCCCACCCTCTGCTGCAAACAGAAGGTAGCAAAAAGGTATGGTTGTAGCAGACAATTTTTTTGGTGTTATACTACACATAAAATTGTATTTTGCTCTATGCTTAGGCTTCAAAATCTCCTCTACTGCTAAACAGTTCATCTTTAGATGGGGAGGAGATCATTGGCGTAAAATAAAGCAGTATGGTTTACACATACATTCCTCCTAGGAAAACTTAGAGCTCCTTGGACTCATAATCAAAAGCCCATCAGTTTAGAGATGTTTAAAAATATTTGAGAAACAATATTTGTTTGCTCTGCCAACAAAGGAGGAAAGAGACAGAAAGAAAAATAAATTGCGTGTATGTGCCTACTTGCATTTTTTCAGTTACACATCCCAACATGTAGCACAAGATGCCATTGTGATCAAATCCAATATATCTTGCTCCAATTAAGTTATTTTCTCACTTAAAGATATGAAAAACAAAGAAACACACACCTCCATCAAGAAACCTATTTAACTAAAGCATACAAACACTACTCATGTGCACCCAAAAAAAATCTCAAACGATTTAGATGACACTCCCAGTGAGAAACCTTAGAACTCACCCCTTTGCACTCAAGCTGGCAGTTGCAGGAAGCAAGGCCAGCACAGCACTTAATGCCTCATCACTGCTAGGGGACTGGAGGAAAAAAGGTGGCAGCCTGAGGAATTATCCCTGTTCTGATTAGCATCAGAACAAAGGCTCACATTAGTTCCGTCAGCAGCAGGGCTCCCCAAGAGCTCCGAGTAATAACCTTGCTGAAAGCATTAGAGGGATATTCCTCCATCCCTTCTCCATCTACATCTCATCTCTAAGAGAGAGCATGGGGGGAAGGGGGTGGAGCAAGGTCCAAAAAGCAGCTTGATGTTTAATTCTTTGAAGGACAGAGTCTGGCACTGTCTTAGCACTAATTCTGTTCTAGCTTCTCAAGGGTAGCATCTGGGAGCAGATATGGGGAAAACAAGAGAAAAAACCAACCACAAGCAGAACGCATTTTCTGTTCTTTGAAAAAGATTGAATAGTACAGGTGGCTTATCATGCAAGGTTAACTCTGGAAGGCAAGAGTTCAACAGTCTCTGTAACAAAGCCAAGAAGTGGTAATGGCATAAAGAACACAAAAGAAAAAAAAACATCATGTGGTACACAAGCACCATAAAAAAGTCTGAAGTATCAGGAAAAAGGATGAAGCACAGTTATAAAATTTTAATAAAATATTTTGGAATAGATTTCAAAAGAAGAACCAACACTAGCAGCATGTGGATGTCTCATTACAGCAGGAAAAAAAATATGGAAGGCAGCACATTCTGACAAGTCTGGAGAAAAATCTCTGGTATATGGACAAAACACACAGATCTAAAAAGCAAAGAAATGAAAGTAACCACCTTAGCTTTCATCTTACCCGGTGTTGGCAGAAGCTAGCATACAGCAGTCGTTGTTAGTACAATAGAAGTGATGATTCAGTGGTGGTGGGTTGATTTGCACACCTAGAATGCACAAAAAAAAAAGATAAGGGCATTACCACATAAACGAGCCACTAGGCTGAGGGGAAAAAATGTTCCATTATGTTTTTAGAACACAGGCATACAGATATGCTTCAGATACATGCATTACCTGCTGAATTCATACCTGGGTTTGAGACAAAGAATGTTCAGAACTACCCTCACACACTCCATTTGGAAATCTCAAGTATAGAAATAGAAAAGCTCTCAGTTTCAAACATAACAGAGAATTACTGCAGAAGATTTTCAGCAGAAATCAAGCTTTATGATTTTTTTGAGACAAACTTCTGAGAAGTAATTCAAAATATGCAAACTAGAACTGCATCAATTCCAGCTATCCAATATACACACCCACTTGTACAAGTGAAAAAAGCTAGGGGCCATAAATCTTGCACACTTCCCTAACAAGCATAGGAGAAAGAATATTTACTTCTTTGCATCAGAAATCAGGGGTGCATTTTAATAGTCTTATCTCCCCTACCCTTTTATTTTAGCATTAATACTAGAAGTTCAAAGACTTGAGAAGATGGCTATTAGTAAGATCACCACGTAACTTTCTCCAGCTCGGTTGGAAAGCACAGCAACTGAGAACTGAGCAAGCAGAGTATCAAAAAGAAAGTAAAAGCTGTGCAGAAGAGGGAATTTCTGGCTTGCCCACTAAAAGGTCTTTCTGTTAAACATTTAAATAACACCACATTTCAGTATTTAACGACACGTTGACTTTCTGACTCTCAGAATATGCAAGTCCTTCAAGACACTCATACAGCAAACCAGAAGCAGACTTGAAATGAGGTTTCCACAGCTAACGAAATGAGAAGCAAACCCAGCGAGCGTCTCTTGTCTGTTACTCAAATAGCCACATGTTTATCAAAACACACATCCCCGACTGTACAGTCCTGCCACCCATACCTACAAAGAAGCCTTTGGTGGGTCTCTATTAGCAGAGTTGTATGCATGGTTTTATAGTCTCCGCTCACAAATCCTACGATGAGTCTCCAGCATATTTTTGTTGCACATCACAGAAACAGCTTACAGTATTTCAGGATCACACAGCTCTTGAAGGAGTTGTAATTAACATCAGCACACCTAACTAGGTCTAACAACATGCCTTACAAGAGCAATCGGCACAAATGGTCTCCAACACCCAAAGGAGATTCTGGCAGATCCTACAACATAACTGCATTAGAGCAGGCTGCCTCAGTATTGCTTACGAGTTTGAGAAGTTATTTGCTAAGTGAAAACAAACAAACCCACAGCAACGTTAAATGGGTAAAGGACATTCCAGCGTTTCACCAATCTATACATTTAGAACTATAAATACAACTTACAGCCCCTTTCAGAACAAGCTGCCCTAGCAACTACTGCTGGAAACCAGAGACAAGGTACACATTTATCTACTGAAAGGTCTGTGTTTTTGTACAGCATAAGAACATCACTCTCACAACATCTCACACAGAAATAAAATTATATAAAAGAAAACTATCACCAGAATCTCCCTGTTACAACTTATGCTCTCTTACAGCACTAATGCAATTTTATTTGAAATTTTCTTTGCTCATCTTCACTCCTGTACAAGATTCAAACTTCGGTTTGCTCAGAGACAGCTTCACTTCTAATTCACTTTATTATAAAACCCCATTAAAGCAACGCAAGGGACAACGAGGAGCAGCAGCAAACCACAGAAACGTTAATCTACAAACTAACAGGAAAATGAGTTCAGAGAAAGCATAAACAGCGTTAAAGTTTTCAAAATGGTTCTGGATCTTTTTTTAAGCATAAGCAAAGGACAGAGACACAGAACTTTCATACCAGTTCTCTTCCAAGGAGGAAGTTAAATGTGGCTCATCTCAGCCTAGCAGGTTCGAGGGAAAGCCATCCTCATAACAAGCAAGTTTACATTGCTGGACTGAAAGCCTTTCTGGTTCGCAGCATAAATACGATGCAGTGCTCTCCTCTGCCCTGTGCTCTACCAACTCTAAAAGCTGCATTTACCTTGCCTAAAGGTTACAGCTGCAGAGGGGACAAACTCCTTTCCCAGTTAATGCTTGCTTGCAACAGGAAAGCGAATTTACGGCTGAGTGGGCTGGTTGCCAGGATAGCAGTTTCCCTTAGGGAATCACCAGAATGACACGAGACACATTGATCCTTTTTGCTGTGGAGAAGGTTCCCACTGCATGCTCCACTTCCAGAGCCTGTCCATTGTTCAACACTCCAGCAGAGAGAGCCAGGAGGTGGGGGAAGGGGCAGCTGGAGCCAAGGGGAAGAGTCCTGCACCTCTAACTTCTGGTCCTGAAGCTCCTCAGTAGTATGCAATTTCCATACACAAGTATCACTGGTTTAAATAAGCTGGAAAGCAAACAGCAGACCAGATTGCACTGGTCTTTGGGAACCTTCAAAAGAAAAACGAGTGCACGGGTCAGCCTGGAAGCTCCAAGTTCCCAAAGAGTACTCAGTGCATTACCATCAGAAACATCCTCTTACCCTCACTATTTTCATTTTGCAAACATCCTGCTTGCAAGCTGCCCAGAGCTAGCCGGGTGAGAACATTGAGCTTCCTGTGAGAGAACATTGGTTTCCATTGCTTTGTACCAAAACAAACAGCAAACCAATGCTGGGCGCAAATATTTCTTGCTGCATACAAAAGCTCACTTCCTAGAATTTATAAAAAGCATTCTCACTGGTTAAGTTTAAGATCAACTTTCGCAACTGCTCAGCAAACAAGCCTGCTTGCAGAATGAAAGATCCGGTCCGCATAACTACAGAAAGGCAAAGCCTGGTCAACAACAGGGGTTCTGAAATACAGAGAGCGCTTCATCTGTTCCTAAATTCCTGTGTCGGGGATCAAATCGTTACATCTGAAGCAATTCCATTTGTACCCAACACAGCTTCAAAACTGAGATCAAACACGTATTGACGGCATTTTGAAAGATGTGATGTTTGTCATGATGGTTGGATAAACATAATTACGAACTACTGTACTTCTGGCAAGAGAAATCTGCTGTAACCAATACCACATTATGAGCAAACATCTTTGCTACAGATGGGATAGGGCTTCCTTTTTCCTGTCCTCAGAGACGCCTGTGTGCTTCTATTTACCTACTCCCAAAGTAGAAGGGAACCCCTGCTGCCCCTAGCCCCTCTGTCAAGCAGAGCAGGCCCAGCCCTGCCACAGAAGGCTCCCTTGCCCCCAGCTCAGCCCCCCGCTGAGCTCAGCCAGCTCCAGCAGTCCACAGGGGCTGAGGGAGACCCAGTGCCAAGTGGAATGCAGGGGAAAGCAGGAGGAATGCTGGCGAATGCTTGCATGCAATTGACCTGTCATGCAGGCACTTGCGGGCTTCTCTGGGAGGAACGCAGATCAGCAAGAACAAACACAAAGGAAGAAAGGAGGGAAAAAAAGACCCAGGTTCTGGGCGCATATGTCAGACTCTACTGACCTGACAAAGGCCAGCAGTTCACATCTGTTTCTCACAAAAGCAGAACAAGTGAGAGATGTGTTCGGGTGGCAAGGAAGTGGGTAGGCACAGCATGAACAAGCACATTGATAAGAAGGAGAAGTGATGTAACAGGAACAGCCCCAGACACAGAAACCCATGTCTGCAGCTAAGGTTGCACAGCTGAGGTTAAGACTGCTGCAGATTGCTCTCACTGCAAGATAAGGCCGTTCTGCAGGCAGGAACAGAATAGCTGTAAAAAAGCGTGATCAGAAGGCAGAGCTAATCCTGTCAGAGCCGCTGCAGCGGCAGTAAGCACTGCTGGCTGTCTCCCCAGCAGCTCCTGCCAGATCGAGCAGCCGTGTCAGCCCACCTTCACCACTGCACTAAGCATAAACTCTGCCGGTAACTGCGTGCAAACTGCAGGGACTCAGCCAAGTGGGCGACCCGAGGATACCCCCGCTCTCCTCATAGACCACAGGTGGCCAATTTGCATGACAAGCAGAGAGGTGACAGAACCAGAGCCTCTGCTGCCGAGAAAGTGCAAAACCGTAGAACAGCGGCTGGGAAATGTCAGACTCCCGATCAGTGCTTTCCCAGACCTCACCAAAACATCTGCATATGAAAAAACCTTTGAAAGCAGCAACACGAGGACAACTGGATTTTCACAGCGCCTTTTAAGGTGAGGTTATAACTTCCTTATCATGTGCTACTTTGCTCTACAAGGAGATGCAACGCTCCAACAGCACGCAGCAACGAGAAACCCCTTAGATTTTACCAAATTTGCTAGATGAGGTGACAGCTCCTCCAGCCATGTAAAGGCTCCCCTCTACAGAAACAAGCCTTCCTACCGTCAGCAGCACTCTGTCTCCCGGCCGTTTGTAAAACACCCGTTCACATAACAGGACAAACGGATCGTGGAGGGCAGATGAATCTCCAAACAGGAGAGAAGTTTATGTTCTTCTCAAAGTTTTGCTCGTTATCAGAAGTCACAAAAAGACAGGTGCCACAGCAGCAGTCGACCACAGAACCCTGTGCTGAAATAAAGGGACAGACACACCGTGGCACGTAACGAAGAGCCGGCAGAAGGGCAGAGATTTACGATAAGACACCTGAGGAGGAGCTGAAGAATGAAATCAGCGATAAACCACAGCCACAGAAGCACCGATCCTCACGGCATCGGCGTTTAATATGCAAACCGCCCTGCGCTGAGGCATTTCGCCTCTCTTTGATGTACGCAGACAAGTTCTAACTGGAGGTGCAGGACGGGAGAGTCCCCTCCGCCCATTATCTCTGCTGCCTATCGCTGCTCCTGCACAGAGGGGAAAAAGAGACAGAACAACAAGGAAAAAAAGTGTGAAAAAATCGTTATTACTGCAGGAGAGAGGCAGCGTGCTGCCGACTGTGAGGCAGGGCGCGGGCGGCAGACTGCTGCCCGGTGTCTGCAGCCCAGCAGAACAGAGAGACGAGCTGAAGGCAGGGCACACAGCAAAGGCATTCCGAAGGCGCGGTAGGAATCGCGGAGCTCGCAGCCCCCTCCGAGGAACTTTCGCTCCCATTGTTCTCACAGAGCAGCCCCAGAAAGCTCCGGGCTCGCGGTGACAATGCGTGCCGCTGCCAGGAGCAGCACCATTACATAACAGCGCCGACGGGAACACGCACAAAGGCACAGGGAGAGGCGGGCGGGCAGACGGCTGCCCTCCTTCCCCGACCCGCCGAGCTCCCGAACACCGCCGGCATAACTCCGGCACCCTCCCACCCTCCTCCGCCTCCCGCACCGCGATCGGCTCACGCACGACACAAACCTCGCCAACTACCGTATTTACGCGAACCCACCGCCGACCAGACCCGACGCACCACCGCACTTTTTCACCTCTTCCTCCCGTCGCCTCTCCCTCCCGGGTGCGCCTCCCACACCCCGCCCTCCGGTTCCCGCCTTCTCCTTTCGGCTGCTCACCGGCCGGAGGGGCGGCGGGGCGCGGGCAACGGTGCGGCAGCGCGGGGCTGAAGGTCGGCGGCCTCGCGCCCCGGCCGGCGCCGCCGTCTTGCCCGCCCCCAACGGCCCGCGCGCCCTTATCCACCCCATCCGCATCGCCCTGCTACAGCCCGCTCGCAGCTCAGCGTCGGGCCGGCACCGTCCGGGCCGCCATCGCCCTCTGGCGGCTGCACAGGGATAAGAAAAACGTGTCAGCAGAGAAACTGCAGGCATTACTCTATAATTAAGAAGTATTCTTGATGAAGTTTACCCCTCGGTGCGATTTTGGATGTATTCAAGGCAATCTTAGCAGCTCGGGGTCTTGTTAACCGGTGTGAAAACAGCAGGGGCAGCTCCACCTTGGATGACTGCATTGCTGGGTGTGCAATGTGGCTGTCCACAGTGAGCGTGGTTCTTGTTTTTCACCAGCTAAACACTTTGCCTTTCTCCTCAGGCCGTGCTTTACGTCCTTCAGGCTGAGTGCAACCCGCTGAACCCATGGCTGTCCAGCTAACAAAGCAAGGGAGGGGCCAGCTCCCAGCTTCTGACCCCTCTCTCTGCCCTTCGCTCCTGGATAGAGCAGCAGCAAGGAGAGAATCCCTTCTTTTTGCCTCCAAGCTCCTTGGCACAGCACTGTAGGCAATTTGGGAATGCACAATTGGCTCAAACTGAGAGTAGGGCATTAAATTCTATACCCCAGAAAACTACATTTCGGTGAGGCTTCTGACAGAGGAAAAAGGAAGGAATATTGATGTAGTTGCTCTGAAAATATGACAGCAGTATGCCACAGTCAAGGTAGAAATCCTACAGGAAGAGAAAGAAGCCCTTAGTATTGAGCTCATCAATGCCTCAGATTAATTAAAACTGAAGTATTTTTAAATCTCCACTCTTAATCTTTGGTTACACTTTGCATTTTGCTCCCCTTGAAGAACGTCACCAGGATTTCACTATTCTTCAGTAGTTTCACATAGTAATTTCCAGGCTGTGCTACAATAAATTGCACAGCTTGAAAGCTGAAACAGCATGGAAGACTGATCATTTGCTCAAAACCAATGGTTTTCAATTAAATGGATGGAACATAACTGAATTTGAGTTTTGGCTTGAAAATGTAACCAGAGTTAGCACATGTTATTGTTGTTGATTTTACATTCAGTAGCACTTGCTCATTGGAGATGATTATGGGTCAATGCTTGCTACTGATTTAAAAATAATGGGGATCCAGTGGTGGTTCGGACCCTTATCAGGGATCAGAAGAGTCTTGAGCTGGGGCTGAAAACTGCTATCACAAAGGCATTCCGTGCCCAAACCCAACTGCCAGACAGCCCTTTTAACACATGGTACAGTGAGGTCTGTCCAAGCTGGGTTTTGGTGAACTCTGAAAATAATTAAATTTTGCAGAAAAGTTTGATTTTACTTTGATGAGAAAAGCAAACCACTGCATTTCTGTACGGACATTAGGGCTCATGGAGATGCAGTTTGCAATACTAGCTTATGAAGTCTGCTCAGACCACTCCAAAGGTATACTCTGAGCTCTCAATAACACAGACCTTTTGACATCCTCATGCTGATTTCTGAATAATTTATGTATTTGTTCATCACAACCTCAGTTTGCTTTGTGACCCTGGGGTAATCCTCCATGTTTCACCGTGTTCAAGCGCCTCATAACGCTCCTATGAGCGTGAGCTGCCCACTACAAGCTGAACCTGACTAGGACAACTGTGTGCCTGATGGTCAGCATCAACATCATCTCTGATTTGGTTTGGTCCAAAACATGCCAATATTCTAATTTCTTCAAAAACAGCTGCTGGCAATGGAACATCCTCAAAAACAAACACAACTTACAGCTATTCTTATTTCCATGGAAATACACATTGACAGGTTTTTTTCTTTCATTTTCAATATTCTATCTGCCAGTCTTCCATATTTTCTCAGACTACTCTGGTAGCTGCATAGATTGTACCCGAATACAAAGACTGCTGCAAGTGTGCCAAATGTGCACAAAGCCAAATAGACAGCTGCTAGGCACATCCCCAGGAAAGAAGCAGTACGATGCTCATTAAGGTGCTTCCTTGATCAGAGAAGAGACACCAACCAGCACACCCAACAAGATGAATGCTAATAACAGCTCGCCATCAGCACAGTCACATGTTAGCCTTAGACTCCAGCTTCACATTAGAGGGAAGGACATTGTATTTGCAGTGCAAGTCTGTCCCCAGTGGCTGCCAAACCTTTTGCTTCTGGATCTGGCTCTGCATTGTCTCTCACCATATGTCCCTGTTTCCAGCTACCTCCTCATGCCTTATCTCTTCTCTGTGTGCATTTTCTATGCATCTGCCCAGCAAGAGGCACCATTTCTCCAGAGACTCAGTGAAATGGCTGAGGGACAGCCACAGTTGATAGCATGAAGTAGAGCCTCTGGGCTATGAGCGGTCAGTTTTCTTCCTCAGCTTCAGGCAGTTTGTTTGCAAAAGCTTGGCAGGGGCTGCAGAAAAGGGCCGGCCGCCCATGGGAGGAGGGAGGCATTGCCTGCATCTCACAGGCAGGCAGCTTGTGCAGGACGAAAGCAAGAAGCAGGAAGTGACAGAACAAGAGGTTGAGCACAGGAAAGGATAAAAGGAGTCAAGACTGAAGTATCCCAGAGAAGGATTTTGGCTTTTGTCAGGCTATTGCACCAGCACTGCGGCGTGTTGGGTTTCAGGCCTGGCTACAAACCAGGTCTCATAGGACTTCATGTTCAGCATTAGGCCTTAGACTCAGTGCCTCATGGAAGTCTTAAAATGGTTCATCAAGCTTCCCACTGACAGGGAAAGGCTGTGTTGTGAGGCTCTGGTGAGCCTGCAAGTGCTGCGGGGGCTGCCCCTGGCAGGGAAGACACGTGTGGCTCACAACAGTTAGGTCAGGGTCCTCCCAGCAACAGTGTAAACAGCATGAGAAAGAGAACGCAGAAATTGCAAAACAGATGGAGACAGGAGTCAACCTGGAAAACTTTTGCTTGTTGCTATTTAGCAAGGAGGAAATAATTCACCAGCTAACATTCCCATGGTGGAGGGAGAAACAGTTCTAAAAAGTCAAACTGTTAAAGTCGAAGCCAAAGCCTCGTTAGAAGCGCTAGCCAACTGTAGAAGGGGAGATGCAAGAGAGAAGGAAGGCAGTGCACAGGCACCAGGGCAGCATGCACAGTCCCCCTATGCCAGGACACACAGAGGCAAATGCTCGACAGAAGCCCCGGCTCAGCCCAGCAGCAGCAGCCACGGGAGGACTGACGCTCTGGAACGAGTTCAGAATGAGGGTGATAGCTGCTTGTGCAACCACAAGCAATTGGTTTACAATGAGGATATGTTTTCCTTGGCTCTGAGGGAATTTGGAAACGGTTTACAAACATTTGTAAGGCATAAGCTCAAGCAGGAGAGAACTGTCTAGCCAAAAAAAGGCAAATTACTTTTGAGAGAAGATGAAACAGTAAAGAAAAACTGAAGCAGAATGTTAACTAATAACATTTCACCAAAGGGCTTTCACAGGTTGTGAAACTGCTCTTCCAAGCAGACTGGGGGAAAACCCAGGTACAGGCAGTTCCAGAGCCAGACTGGGAAGGATTAATTAATACATGTGAGTGGAGAGCATGCAGAAAAACTCATTGACTTGAAACAAATATTTCCATCTCCATAATCCATAGGCATGATTTCCCACTGTCCTGCATCTCTTGCTATCATTAGCAGTGATGCAAACAAAGAAACTGTTTATCAAAGGAGGAGGGTAACCCTATGGTACTGCTCAGCCTATGTGCATAGATTTCTCTCATTTCCAGCCAAAAGAGAATTAGGGTTTAAATTGGTGTAGGGGAAAATGACGCATTAGCAGTGAACCTCTTTGGCTCCTCCAGAGGGCACCTCCTACCCCATCCCAAGCTTCCCTTAGTCTTGATGAGATGGGGATATGACTTCAGCGTTTTGATAGCATATGCCTCCAAAAGTCATACCCAGCTACTTCTCAAGCTGTCTGACAAGCCCCCTTCCTACTGCATTTGGGTGGCTGCCTATGGGAGTCCATAAGATCTACACAGAAACCTGAAAGGTAAGGTTCAGCTACAGCCCCGTTCCAAGCTGAAACAGCAATCTGCCAAAAGCCCTAGGAAACCCATGCTTCACCGGGCACACACTTGCCAGCTAATAAGTTTCCACAAAGAGTGCAGCAGCGGCTTGGCAACGGCTGTGCTGCAACTCCTGTTCGTGGTCAGCACCTTCAGCAGTGAGCCAGGCTCTTCTGACAGCAGAAAGCTGCTCTCTGGCCCAAGGATGTTCACATAACTAATTACCAAGCTTTATAACCACCCCCTACAGACTATGATGATGACGAATGAATTAGATTACATAAGTCAATACAGTTCATTGGTGCAGTTTGCCCACTCAATACATCCTCACTGTGCGCATCCATCAACGTGGACACGGATTCAAAGTCTTTTCTCATACTAAATGGAACCACCACCTACCTGCAGCTCTCTAGCTTCTCCCAGGGACTCCCTGGGCCTTTCCTGGGTCTTTCTCTCACTCTCTGTCATTGTCCTGGATCATCCTCGAAGCTCTTTGATGACTGCCTTGTCCTTCCTTACTGAAACAAAGCAGATTAAGCTGCATCTATAATCTATACTGGCTACATGATAAATTGCTGAAAAGCACTAAGGTCACAATGCAGTGCCTAACAAACGTTCACTACTGTTTTCCTCTGCCTGACAAAAACAGAGTTGTTCCACTGTGTGGCACAGATGCTCTGCACTCCACAACCAGCAGTGATTCCCTCTCTGCTGAATGATATTTCTAGGGCAAGGCATTTTCAGTGGCTGTTGAGCTCTGGATGCCTACAGAAATTCTGAATCTACCACAGTAACTGCAGCCAGCCTGTTCCAAGCGGGTACCTGGAAAGCTGTACTGCACTGCCTGCAACACT